AGCCGCTCACGAGCCCAAAAGCAAGCCACTTGCTAGCTCGAACCAGGGGAATTTTTTGACAAAAAAATTTTTAAATTTTTTTGGCTCAAATTTTTTTTAGTTATCTCCTAACTAATCCAACCCCAGAATTTGTAATATTACAAGGCCTTTGTGAACTTGCACAAAAGTTGGTTGTGACAAAAAAACATGAAATATACCCGTTATTATACAAGCTTTTGACATTGGCATTAATTTCTTGTCGCTACAGTATGTTCCGATGTCGTCAGTAGTTGCCCGAACTTCCAGCATCGTCATCTTTCTCTTTTGGTTCAGTGAGCATGGAAGTTGGGATATCTCTGTGAGTTTGCCGTATTCAGTGAGTTGGGGCGGAGTGATTTCAGTTTTTCTCGTCGCATGTGTTCTTTGACTTGCGTCGCCTCTGTGAGTACCAATCGGTCTTAATTTATTTGTGTTTGAGTTGCAATGTGTTTGTTTTAGGATGTAGTGTTAGCCGGTTGAGCATGGATTATTGTTTGGGCTGCTGATTGCTTAAGTTATGTATTTGTTAGGCTAAGTTAATTTTTGTTGGGCCATTGATTTCGCTTATCGTTATTATTAGTAATTAAGCTTGAATTTCTGTTGGGCTTTGGCTTTGAGGTCATTATTATTTTTTTTGGCTTGAGTTTACGGGTATCATTATTTTTCGATTGGTTTGTACTCGATTTCATCATGTCAATTGAGAAAACTGATTCTATTTTCATTCGCTTTACTAGGAAGAACCATTCTTCATGGGCATTTTTCTTTCAGTTGTTGGTTGAAGGCACATGGGATCTGTGGGGACATATTGATGGAAGCCTTCCGCCCCTTGAACAAGAGAAGGACAAAGAAAAGTACTTGGAAACCAAGGATTCTTGGATTATGGCCTGGATCATTAGATTTGTTGATTCTCAGATTATTTTTAAACTCAGGTCTTACAAGTTTGTTCATGCCATGCAGAAGTTCTTAAAGAAAATATAAACTCAAAGCAGCAATGCTCGAAAACTTCAGTTGGAGTTTGAATTGGCAAACTTTTCTTAGAACTCTCGCTCCATTGAAGAATTTTATTATGGTTTTTCTAATTTTTGGACTGAGTACACATATATCTTCTATGTTTCGATTTCACCTGCTTTGGAGGTTGTACAAGTTGTGCATGAAGTTACCAAGAGGGTTAATTTCTTGTTAAATTGCGAATTGAATTTGAATATATCTGATCCAGTCTTATGAATTGTGAATCTCTTCCAATGTTGGATGGTTGTTTGGGTGAGTTACTAACGGAGAAAAAGTGATTTATCACTCGTGCCTCTTTGGAGCAATAGCAGAATCAAGTAGCACCGATTCCCGTTGCATATGCTACTCAAGGGAAATTTAGACCTCGAGATATGTCTAGTGTGCAGTGTTACAACTGTATGGGTTTTGGACACATGGCTCTTCAATGTCCCAAAAAGGTATGCAATTATTGCAAGAAGACTGGATATGTAATTAAGAAGTGTCGTATTCATCCTCCATGCAAGACTAGAGCAAGTTATGTTGTTGTTACCACTTTAGCATCCAATTCTGCTACGCTGTTTCTACTACTCAAGTTCTAGCCTCTCCTAGTCCTATCTAAAACTCCATCACTCCTGAGATGATCCAACAAATAGTTATTTCTTCTTTGTCAGCCTTAGGTGTCTCAGGTAATTCATCAACTTCTTCTTCTTCTTGGATATTAGACTCATGTACCTCTAGTCATATAACTCATTATACTTTATCTCTTAGTAACCCTACCATATACTGGATATCTCAATATACACATAGCTAACGGTAACACTCTTCCTATCTTAGCCGTGGGTGATATATCACCAAATTTGCCTAATATTTTAGTCTTTCCTAGTTTATCCACTAATCTTGTATCCGTTGGTCAACTTGTTGATAACAATTGCATTATGCCATTTTCTTCTTCTGGTTGTCATTTGGAGGATCAGGTGTTCCAGAGGATGATCGTGAGGGGGCCTAAAAAGGGACGTCTCTTTCCTATTTTACCAAAGCCCATTTTTTCTATTCCTATTGTTTGTAATTCTGTTATTTTTTATATTTTTTATTTAAATAAGAAATTGGGACATCTCAATTCTAATATGTTATAACATTTGGTAAAATCTGGTTTACTTGGTAATAAGAATTCTGCTTCGGTTTAATCTCTCTTGTTTGTGCTTCATGTAAATTTGCTAAGAGCAAAGTTTTTCCGTTCCCTAATCATATTTTTCATGTTTTGCATGTTTTCGATATTGTTCATAATGATGTCTGGGGTATTGAACATGTGGTATCTCATCCTCATTATAAATACTATGTTACTTTTATTGATGACTATAGTCGCTTTACATGGGTTTATTTTCTCCGTGCAATGAGTAAGGTTTTCTCTACCTTTCAGGCTTTCATTGCTCTCATTGACAACCAATTTTCATCATCAATCAAGATCTTACAATCTGATTTGGGAAGCGAAATATGTCTAATACATTTCAATCCTTCTTACAAACCAAAGATAATATTTTTTAGCGATCTTGTCCTACTCCTTAACAAAACGGGGTGGCAGAATGTAAGAATCGCCACCTTCTTGACATGTTTAGAGCTCTTTTGATTGAGTATTTTGTTCCCTCTCATTTTTGGTGTGAAGCCTTGTCTATAGCTGTTCATATCATAAATCGGTTGCCTTCTCCGACTCTTGACAACATATCTCCGTTTTATAAGATATTTGGTCATCATTCTACATATTTTCATCTA